AGGACACCTTGATGAGAGGACACCTTGATGAGAGGACACCTTGATGAGAGGACACCTTGATGAGAGGACAACTTGATGAGAGGACACCTTGATGAGGGGCAACTTTATGAGAGGACACTTTTATGAAGGACACCTTGAATGAGAGGACAACTTGATGAGAGGGCACCTTGATGAGAGGACAACTTGATGAGAGGACAACTTGATGAGAGGACAACTTGATGAGAGGACACCTTGATGAGAGGACACCTTGATGAGAGGACACCTTGATGAGAGGACACCTTGATGAGAGGACAACCCCTTGATGAGAGGACAACTTGATGAAAGGACCAACTTGATGAGAGGACAACTTGATGAGAGGGACACCTTGATGAGAGGGCAACTTGATGAGAGGACACCTTGATGAGAGGACACCTTGATGAGAGGACACCTTGATGAGAGGACACCTTGATGAGAGGACACCTTGATGAGAGGACACCTTGATGAGAGGACAACTTGATGAAAAGGGGCAAATTGATGAGGGGGGACACCTTGATGAGAGGGCAACTTGATGAGAGGACACCTTGATGAGAGGACACCTTGATGAGAGGACACCTCGATGAGAGGACAACTTGATGAGAGGGCAACTTGGTGAGAGGACACCTTGATGAGAGGACACCTTGATGAGAGGACACCTTGATGAGAGGAACCTTGAAAGGAGGATACCTTGATGAGAGGGAACAACTTGATGAGAGGACACCTTGATGAGGAGGACACCTTGATGAGAGGACAACTTGATGAGAGGACAACTTGATGAGAGGACACCTTGATGAGAGGGCAACTTGATGAGAGGACACTTTGATGAGAGGACACCTTGATGAGAGGACAACTTGATGAGAGGGCACCTTGATGAGAGGACAACTTGATGAGAGGACAACTTGATGAGAGGACAACTTGATGAGAGGACACCTTGATGAGAGGACACCTTGATGAGAGGACACCTTGATGAGAGGACACCTTGATGAGAGGACAACTTGATGAGAGGACAACTTGATGAGAGGACAACTTGATGAGAGGACAACTTGATGAGAGGACACCTTGATGAGAGGACAACTTGATGAGAGGACACCTTGATGAGAGGACACCTTGATGAGAGGACACCTTGATGAGAGGACACCTTGATGAGAGGACACCTTGATGAGAGGACACCTTGATGAGAGGACAACTTGATGAGAGGACAACTTGATGAGAGGACACCTTGATTAGAGGACACCTTGATGAGAGGACACCTTGATGAGAGGACACCTCGATGAGAGGACAACTTGATGAGAGGGCAACTTGGTGAGAGGACACCTTGATGAGAGGACACCTTGATGAGAGGACACCTTGATGAGAGGACACCTTGATGAGAGGATACCTTGATGAGAGGACAACTTGATGAGAGGACAACTTGATGAGAGGACACCTTGATGAGAGGGGAACTTGATGAGAGGACACCTTGATGAGAGGACAACTTGATGAGAGGACACCTTGATGAGAGGACACCTTGATGAGAGGACACCTTGATGAGAGGACACCTTGATGAGAGGGCAACTTGATGAGAGGACACCTTGATGAGAGGACACCTTGAAGAGAGGACACCTTGATGAGAGGACACCTTGATGAGAGGGCAACTTGATGAGAGGACAACTTGATGAGAGGGCAACTTGATGAGAGGACACCTTGATGTGAGGTTTAGAAGTGTGACCAGTGTTGTAATTAATCGATGACTAGTGTTGTAACCAGTCTACGATCCAGTGTTGAAATCAGTGTACCGAGTTTTGAAATCATACAAATACCAGTGTTGTAATCATACAAATATCAGTGTTGTAATCATACAAAGACCAGTGTTGTAATCATACAAAGACCAGTGTTGTAATCATACAAATACGAGTGTTGAAATCATACAATTATCACTGTTGTAATCATGCAATGACCAGTGTTGTAATCATACAAAGACCAGTGTTGTAATCATACAAATATCAGTGTTGTAATCATTCAATGACCAGTGTAGTAATTATACAAGTACCTGTGTTGTAATCATACAAATACCAGTGTTGTAATCATACAAATGCCAGTGTTGTAATCATACAAATATCAGTGTTGTAATCATACAAATATCAGTGTTGTAATCATACAAATACCAGTGTTGTAATCATACAAATACCAGTGTTGTAACCAGTTGTTAGACGGTAAGTATTTTTGTCTAATTGTGATAAATTCCCCAGTCGTTCTATATTTAGGTATTAATTTAACACTACCAATATATGCCTGTGTCTGCCTGAGTATACTTGTGTATAAAATTAAGTGTGTATGTATATGCTTGTGTATACATGTGTATCCCTAAATACTGTGTCAGATATGTATGGAAGACGAGTATGTTCGTGTTACATTTACATACTAATGTGAACACATGATGTTGATGTGTGTTCTGCATGTTAATATTACGGATTGCGAAAAAGATTTAGGAGTTCTGGTTAGCAGTAATCTGAAACCAAGACAACAGTGCAAAAGTGTTCGCAATAAAGCTAATAGAATCCTTGGCTTCATATCAAGAAGCATAAATAATAGGAGTCCTCAGGTTGTTCTTCAACTCTATACATCCTTGGTTAGGCCTCATTTAGATTATGCTGCACAGTTTTGGTCACCGTATTACAGAATGGATATAAATGCTCTGGAAAATGTACAATGGGGGATGACGAAGTTGACCCCATGTTCAGAAATTTCCCCTGTGGGATTGACTAAGGGCCGATCTGCCTCTTAAAAAAGGGAGTAAAATTGGGGGGGGGATTGATTGAGGTGTAAAATGGAAGCGGAATAAAAAAGGGGATTTTAAAATAGTGTGCTGAAAAAAAACTGCCTAGACGGATCGCGATGGTTTTAAATTGGAAAAATTCAGATTCGGAAGGAATAGGAAAGTACTGGTTTGGGAATGAGTTGTGGTGAGTGGGGCAAAATCCCAAGTAAATTATAGAGGCCAGAAACGTTGTTTTAGCTTTAAAAATGGTTGGATAAATACTGAGTGGATGTAGGTGGGTTTTGAGGGGTTTGGGCCTGATAGCTTGGCAAACCAGGTCGGTTGCCGTGTTCCTCCCTTAAGTCAATGTGACCTGACCTACTAGGTTGGGTGCATTGGCTTAAGCCGGTAGGAGACTTGGACCTGCCTCGCATGGGCCAGTAGGCCTTCTGCAGTGTTCCTTCGTTCTTATGTTCTTACGTCGTCGAGGGTGACGGACTGATTACATCGTCTTCACATCTCCACTGTTTCTGCTGCCTCTATTGCGTCGACTGAAAAAGGCTACGGTGTTGGCGAAACGTTTCGGAATAAAAAATACCTAACTCGTACCTGTATCTTACTGATCAACTTGCAGGAAGTCATTGCACTTCCATCTCAGCCCTGGCATTGTTTGTGACTCGTCTAAATCACTGCTTCTACGGTGATTACACTGTTACTGTGCACGGTTACTATTGGAGTCACTGGGTTGACTCTGGAACTACGTTGCTTCTGCCGCACCTGCTGACTGTCAGTAGACTCAACCAACACTATTGATGCCGTTACTGTCTCAACTACTAGTCACTATAGCTGATACCGTTACTATAGTTGTTACCGTTAGTATAGCTGTTACCCCAACTGAATCAACTGGTCGTTGCTATAGCTGCTACCGCTGTGCTACCACTGTGGCTACTGCCTCTAGACTTGTTCACCTCTACACAGCATCTCCCTACAATTTACACATATGTTACTAAGTATGATAATTGTTCTTATGTGTACCTGTACCTAAATAATATTACTGACTTCACTCCACAACCGCCTCATTCCACACCACCTCTCAACATAACTTCGTAAACCCTTTGACAAGGGTTTGACAAGGTTAAGGATCCCTAGCTTTATTGACAAGCTATTTACAGGTTAAGGATTCCTAACTTTATTGGCAAGCTAAGAGCTTTACCTACATCAGCTCATTTGAAAGTATTTTTATTGCTACGAGACATACAAGTAGGGAACAGGATGATGTTGGAGCCATCTGTGGGCCAGCATTTTCATTTGATCAACTGACTTTATCTTGTTGACATCATTATGCTGTACGAATGTGTTCCATACTCGAGTCATCCTGGGCATATAGGATCTCAGATGGAGTGAAGTTCTGGAGAAGGGTACAGCCAGAGTGAAGTTGCTGCTTTCTGCCCGTCTTGTGGCATAAAAGCTTGTACATCACAATTTCCCTTCCCAAATAACTGGTAATTATAACAGTGACTGAGCCGTCCAAATCACAAGGTTTATAGAGGTGAATTTTTTTGCTGATAAAACAGATTTTCGAAAGCTAATGATGCTAAGCTATCATGATATTTACATGCTAGTGTAGGTGGCTCCACCAACCGTTTTCTGTGACTGACTCAAACATCCGCTTACTCTCCATCTTCTCCCAAGAAACATTAATTTCCCCTTCTCATTATATAGAAACTTTAAATACAGATTTAACCACAATAAATATTACCTGGTATATACAGAAACCAGTCGTATGTGTAATAATTTTCACAGGTATACAAGGGTGTAATAACGTAACACAAGCATAATTCCGTGGCAGGAATTATGTTTGTGTCGCATTGAACAAAATTAGGATTTATTGGTCGTGATTATTGAACATCTCTGTTCAATAACCAGAAACATTTAGCAGTGTAATGTTCACTTGTCATAGATGTCAGAACAAGACACAGTGATTGAACTCTTGTAAATTGTTTGATACTAGTATACTAGGACCTAGATGTTCATCTAGTTAGGTCATTACTGCTGAAAACTTCGTAACGATTCTTGTTGCTTTCCCTTCCAATTATAAAGACTTGTACTTTTCTTACTATTAGTATAAAATGATTTATTGCGTCAAAAATTAGTATACGGATTATTTGGTATATGCATCAGTGGTCACAAATGTCACATATTTTCTCTCATGTTCTTATTCGGGAAATTATTATTTTTTTTTATTCAGGAATGGCTTTTGCACTGCTGGGTGGACTACCTCCTATTACTGGAATATACATGGCATTCTTCCCTCTTCTTATATATGCATTACTTGGCTCCTCAAGGCACTGCTCAATGGGTAGGTTCATGCTCCCATGACCCTCCTTAACACGTGTCTAATTTATCACCTCAGTAACCAGCCTAACCCACCAACAAATGTCATTCGCTCTATATAGAGTGACCGATGAATGTACCTTTCTTGAAGTGTATGCACCGACAACAACTAATGTGACGTGAAATATATCTCAGAATATTGGCCAATATTTTGGATTAAAATATGATGGACTGGTGATGTATAGGCGACATGGGGTCTTAATAGTAATAGTACGCTATGTTTTATAAACTGCATCGATCAACTTAGCAACTAAGCAAGGCATGATGAAGTTTCACACATTCTCTCTCTCTCTCTCTCTCTCTCTCTCTCTCTGTCTGTCTCTCTCTCTCTGTCTGTCTCTCTCTCTCTGTTTCTCTCTCTCTGTCTCTCTCTGTCTCTCTCTCTCTCTCTCTCTCTCTCTCTCTCTCTCTCTCTCTCTCTCTCTCTCTCTCTCTCTCTCTCTCTCTCTCTCTCTCTCTCTCTCTCTCTCTCTCTCTCTCTGTCTCTCTCTCTCTGTTTCTCTCTCTCTGTCTCTGTCTGTCTGTCTCTCTCTCTCTCTCTCTCTCTCTCTCTCTCTCTCTCTCTTTTACACAGCGTTTGACAAGGTTAGGTTAAGGATCTCTAACTTTATTGGCAAGCTAAGAGCTGTTACCTACATCAGCTCATTTGAAAGCATTTTTATTGTTATGAGACATACAGGTAGGGAACAGGATGAAGTTGGAGCCATCTGTGTGCCAGCATTTTCATTTGATCAACTGACTTTATCTCGTTGACATCATTATGCTGTACGAATGTGTTCCATACTCGAGTCATCCTGGGTATATAGGATCTCAGATGGAGCGAAGTTCTGGAGAAGGGTACAGCCAGAGTGAAGTTGGTGCTGGCTGCCCGTCTTGTGGCATAAAAGCTTGCTTCTCTGTCTCTCTCTCTCTCTCTCTCTCTTTCTCTTCATATATACATATATATATATATATATATATATATTATATATATATATATATATATATATATAATATATATATATATATATATATATATATATATAATATATAGAGAGAGAGAGAGAGAGAGAGAGAGAGAGAGAGGAGAGAGAGATTGGGAAGTGGAATGATCTCCATGAAGACGTGGTAGAGGCAGGCATGATGCACAGCTTTGAGAGTAGGTATGATACCTACTCTCAAAGCTATGCATCAAGCCTGCCTCTACCACGTCTTTGTCAGTATAGCTACTGAATCCCCTTATATGTATACTTGTGTAGTATATTGTGGGTCGTATCATCCATGTATATATTTAGGCTCCCTGGTCAGTAGGCTCAGTGACTAGCATGTGTGATGTCACGTGACGCTGTTGTGAGCCCTTCGCGCCTGGGATCCCTCTCAGTTCCCGTTAGACCTACCAAGTAGCTACAGGCAGGCTGGACCTCCTTCTTCCACACTCTGCTAATATATGTGATACCATCCAACAAGTGTGTTTAACTCCAACCATCACATCTCCTACGAACCCCCACTACATCTTCAAAGAGATCATTCCACTTCCCAATCACCCTGATTCTGAAGAAATACTTCCTAGCATTCCTATATTTTTAGTTTCTAGCTGTACCCTGGGTTACGTGTGTTCTAGCAAACATTTGTCACTGACTTCCCTATCATTTTCCCTAAGTATTTTCCATATTGCAGTCATATCTACCCCGGTTCTACTGTTTTCCAAAGAAGTTAGATTCAGTTTCGAAAGTCTGTCTTCACAGCTTATAACCCTTAATTCAGAAACAAGCCAAGTTTTTAATACGTTTTCTCAATTATATATTAAATACTGGTGTTGCATACCCCAAGACTGGCCCTGTCTATGTTGTACAATGAGTCCGGAATGACTCTGTTGAGATTCCTAATGGCCATTCCTAGATTTACGAAACGGACATTGGCTGCACAGGATATTCGGTTGACATGACCTGCAGAGAGAGAGAGAGAGAGAGAGAGAGAGAGAGAGAGAGAGAGAGAGAGGAGAGAGAGAGAGAGAGAGAGAGAGAGAGAGAGAGAGAGAGAGAGAGAGTAAAATGTTTGCTGTAAATCAAGTGGACGTCATATATCACTAAGGATATTTTCCTTAACATTACCGTATATGATTTCTGTCGTATAATCTCTTTCCATAACATTTTTACCAGGATCATTTGCCGTGGTGTGTTTGATGACTGGGAAAGTTGTAGGAGAATTAGCTACATCACCAGACACTGATGGAGCCTCGATTCTAAGCGGCAACGATACTGAGAGTGTACTGACGGACACCCGGCAGACATATACTGCCGTTCAAGTAGCAGCGATTGTTGCTCTTATGAATGGAATTGTTGAGGTGAGACTTATTTGTGATTTTATTTAAATATACATTATAATGAATTGGTTAGTATCAAAACGTATCATATATTGTAATTTACATATGAATATGTAAATTACTGTACTTGTAGAATAACTCTGCTGTTAGCTAGCTAAGGATATCATGTTATTACCAAGATGGTAGGGCTCTCACGTAACTACCACTATGGTAGGGCTCTCACGTAACTACCACTATGGTAGGGCTCTCACGTAACTACCACTATGGTAGGACTTTCACGTCACTACCATGATAATAGGACTCTCACGTCACTACCATGACAAATGACACTCTAACAAGCTTACTAACTACTGACATCTGAGTTCCCCGGAGAGCCTTTCCTGCCCACACTCCTCTTCCATATACCAGGAGGTGTATATATCTCAGTGTACTTACACTCAGTCAATGTTTCTAAGTGTATATACATCGAGAGATATAAATCAGAGGTACATATTTCGAATAATATATATAATATATATATATATATATATATATATATATATATATATATATATATATATATATTATATATATAGTATATATATATATATATATATATAATTATATATATATATATATTCCCATATAATATAAAATAGGGGGTGGTAGGAGAAGAAAATATTCAAACAGCTCCGGGAAAAACCTTGAGGTTTCCCTGAGGTACGTTTATTGTCTTCTCTGAGGATGAGGGTCCCCAGTCCAGTTATAGAGGTGGTATATGTATATATAATATATATATATATATATATATATATATATATATATATAATATATATATATATATATATATATATATATATATATATATATATATATGCAATAAGATCACAGTAAACAGGTGATTTCAGAATATGCAAAACAACCACTGTGAAAGAATAGAGAAGTTCCAAGCGCTTTCGTGACTACTCACATTATCAAGGAACTATGAAAGTAAAGCATCCAAGGAAGGTATATAAGGGGTCTGACCAACACCTCACTATCAGATCCCACAACAGTTAAACACCTGATGTGCGCCGACCCAACTGGACAGGTCCTTCGCACAACCCACCAACAAACTATTCTACCCAAGAAAATTTAAAAAATTATTATTTATCCAGTGTATTATTAAATTCTTCCCAAATTCTATTAATTATAAATGAATCTAATTTATATAAACCAAAGGAAATATTCATATTATTGTCAAAACTGCTTTTTATGAAACAAGATTCAATTATATTCCTGTCGACCATGGACTTGCTTGATACTACTTTCTCAACTTTTTGAAAATCAATTGGATGGTTAAAATCTCTTACATGAATAAATAGAGCATTGGAATCTTTTCCAGTTCTAATGCTATATTTATGTTGTTTTAATCTTAGTTCGAGATTTTTTCCAGTTTGACCGTAATAAACTTTATCGCAAATTTCACAAGGAATCTTATAGACACATCCATCAGCATTTTGGGGGGAATTCTTTATCAAAAGTTTTTTTTACTGTATCAATATTTTTGAATACAACTTTAATATTAAAAGTCTTAAGAAGAGAAGGCATATCAACCAAATTTTCATGGTAAGGGAGAACCAACATATTTCTAATCGAATGAGGCTGGTTGTCCCTTTTTGGATTGTAAAAAGTATTTCTAGCAACTTTAAAAGATTTATCAATTACATTTCTTGGGTATTTTAAGTCATTACCTATTTCATAATTTTTTTATATTTCCTCATCTATGAACTCAGGACTACAAATTCGTAAAGCTCTCAAAAATATTGATGAGAAAACAGACAGTTTGGCTTTATCTTGATGCGAAGAATAATAGTGGACATAGGAACAGTCATTTGTTCCTATGTCCACTATTATTCTAAATTACAGAGTATTAATAAACCACGGTACATATGGGGCTAGAACCCATAACAAGTAAATTGTAAAACTTGCCTGGAGTTATACGACTCACTCGCCAGGGGTTCTAACCCATAACGATTTCGTGAGTCTTGCGGAATACTGTTTGCATTAACAATATTAAATTTGAGTACGTTTTTAGTCCTCATTTGCTGTTATTAATCAACATATTGTTTTCAGATAATCCTAGGTATGCTTAGTGTGGGCAGCCTGTGTGTCTTCCTCTCAGACATGCTGGTGTCTGGCTTCACCACTGGAGCTGCCTTCCACGTACTAACATCACAGATCAAGTACCTTCTAGGTATACAAGTACCAACGTACAACGGCCCATTGAAAATCATTCACGTAAGGAATTTTCAGATCTTTTTAATTATCTTCCGTTTCCTCGTAACACCTTCAGGCATGAATAATTATAACACCTTCAGGCATGAATAATTATAACACCTTCAGGCATGAATAATTATACCATCTTCAGGCATGAATAATTATAACACCTTCAGGCATGGATAATTACCGTACTGAAGAAAATTGAATGAGGAAACGTTTTTGAGCAGAGCGAAACGTTGACTCGATTACAATTTATGGTAAAACGTGTATCTGGCTACTGTGAGCAGTACACGGCAGATCTTTATTCAGCTAAACATTATAAAGTAGTTATTTTAAGAATTAAGTAATATCGATTTTTCATCAAGGAAAAATGACCATAAAAGCTATCAGAGATTTTAAAAAGAAAAATTCTAAATTTTCATATATATTTTTTTTTTGAATTTCATTCCCTGATGGCAGTTGCTTGTCATGGTGGGGGATTATGGCTTTGTTTTATACCATAACTCTTTTGGGTAAGACTTTACCTCTCAGGGTAGACTTAATCGTTGTTTAATGAGGTTATTATTATATTATAATCATAACTAAGGGCTATACCCAGAGTTATTGGGGTTTAAAGTCTATCGGCTACAAGAGGGTTTTAAGGCCGCATGTCACCTGGTCATCACCAATTATGGATACTTTGACAACTAAATCAAGGATTAAAGCAAATTCTCGGTGTATATACACAGATAAACCTATACGTTTCGGTATATATGCACTGGAAAGATATGCATTCACTTGTATACAGTATACTGGAAGATGGCTGAACACACCGTTATACCAGAAATATCTCCTGGAAGCATCCTGGCTCAACAGGCATATACTAGAGAACTAATGAGGCTGTGTGATAAGTACTCATTGAACCAACAGATAACTGATCCCGCTAGAAATTAAAATACCCTGGATTTGATTTTCACAAACAACGAGGAACTAATCAGAGACATAGCAATCACAAAAAAAAAAAATATTTTTTCTGACCACAACATCATAGAAATGCATACGAGTATAAACTCAGGGTTAGTGAATTACAGCACTAATGTAGGAGAAGAAATGTTTCGGTTAGTTTAATTTCAACTACTATAGGAATGACTGAGACAAAATAAACCAAGAACTATCAGACAAATCCTGGGAAACAGACTTGAGCACTCTACGTTCTCACCAGTGCCTGGACCAGCTAAATACAGCAGCATACAAGGTCTGTATTAATTTGTACCACTCAAGAAACCCAAAAGAAGATCAGATATAGAAAAGAGTAGGAGATTGTACATATGAAGAAAATGGGTTACCGAAATGCTTGAAAGTGAAGGAAAGACAGTCGCTAACGCGACGGGCTGGAGTTTTGAGACTCTATGACCGCGGGTTCAATCCCGGCCGGGGGTATGGTTTAGCCGAGAGATCACTGATTTAGAAGAGCACAAAGGGAACAAAAGCCCATCCAGGATATTGCAAGAAACCCCAAATACTTTTATACATATGCAAAATCCAAGCTATGAATTACATGTAGAATCGGGCCATTGACTCGTTACTGACGACGATCAGGAAATGAACGAAATTCTACAGGAACGGTATGAGTCGGTGTTCAGGAGTCCACTAAATGACAGCAGGGTAGGGAATGCAGAGATATTTTTTACTCCAGCGGAAGGCCGCGCAGACCAACTAACAGTAGTACCAGTCCCATAGAATACGTAAAAGACATTGAAATCATGCCCACTCACTCAGCACATGGACCAGATTCATGAATGCCATATTTATAAAAAAAAGTGAAAAGTAGTACTAGCAAAAGTCCTCAGTATTCCCTGGAGAAAGAACCTAGATATAGATGAACTTAACGAACTTAAAGATTGCAGACATAGCTCCTTCGCATAAGGGAAGCAGTAGAACACTAGATAAAAAATTACTTACTAGCAGCCCTAATTTCCTACATCATAAAAATCTTAGAAAGAGTGATGAGACGGCAGATGACAGATTTCATGGAACAGCACAATCGGCATAACCTAAACCAGCATGGTTTTAGAGCAGGACGATCATGCCTATCACAGCTGCTGAACCACTATAAGAGAATTACTGAGGCTTTCGAAGACAACCAAAATGCAGATTTGATATACACAGACTTTGCAAAGGCATTTGACAGATGTAATCATGGGATGATTGCTCATTAAATGAGGGCCATAGTCATTACGGGGAAGGTAGGCAAATGGATTTTTTGGATCTTACACACAGAACACAAAAAGTAGTAGTAAATAAACCAAAATCCAGCATCCGTGACGTAAAAAGCTCGGTTCCCTAAGGCACTGTCCTGGTACCTCTGCTGTTTCTCATCCTCATAGCAGACATACATGTGAACACCCGTCACAATTATGTATCATCATTTGCAGATGACACTAAAATAAGTATGAAAGTCACTTCAGTAGAAGACAATGAAAAATTACAGGAAGATATAAGCAGTAAACCATACCCCCGGCCGGGATTGAACCCGCGGGTTCAATCCCGGCGGGGGTATGGTTTATATTGCAATCGTGTCATTACGATTTCTTGAGTCAGATATAAGCAGTATTTTTCAGTGGTCAGTGGAGAACATGACGTTCAGTGACGATACGTTCCAGCTGCTTAGGTATGGAAAGAATGAAGAGCTCAAAATGAACACTGTATGCCAAACTCAAGAGGATAGTCAAGTAGGACGACAGGAACACGTGAAAGGCTTGGGAACAATTATGTCACGACAGCCAGGAGGATGATGGGGTGGGTAGTGAAAGCTTTCAAAACAAGGGAAATGATGTCAGTGGTGATTCTTTTCAAATCGCTAGTGCTCCCTCATTTGGAATATTGTTCAGTGATGACGGCCCCAATCAGGGCATGAAAAGTATCAGAGCTGGAACAAATACAGAGATCGTCTAAGGCCCGCATAGAACCAGTATGTACTCACTGGAGCGGGAGAGGGATACATGATAATGTGTACCTGGAAAGTACTCGAGGAAGTACAAAATAAACCCAGTGAAAACCAGGGGATTATTCAACATCTTACCAGAAGATATCAGAAACACTGCTGGAACAAGTGTAGAAGTTAGAAGTTTTCAAGAGGAAACTCTACAAGTATCTTCACCAGGTGCCAAATCAACCAGGCTGTGATGGATGTGTGGGTAACGGGCCTCCAACCGCAACAATCTGATTGATCAGACTTACACCAGACAAGCCTGGCCTATCGCCGGGCTCCGGGAGTAAAAAAGAAAACTCTCGAAACTTATCACCAGTAGTGACACAAATATACGTCGATTTCTGCGTTTGGTGATGTTTTGTTCGTCAGTAAACAACAGTAAACAACAGTAAACAACAGTAAACAACAGTAAACAACAGTAAACAACATGAACTAAGACCTGTGTCTCATGACACAGGTCTTAGTTCATGACCCGTTCAGTGGTAAGGCATCCACCGGGTTACCAAGGTTAGAAATCCACCGCTGCAGTGTCACGGCTCCTCAGTGAAGATAACTTGAGTTGTTTATAGTGAAGATAACTTGAGTTGTTTATAGTGAAGATAACTTGAGTTGTTTATAGTGAAGATAACTTGAGTTGTTTATAGTGAAGATAACTTGAGTTGTTTATTTAATTAAATACTATTATTTACTTACATTTACATCATTTAAACTTGGAAGATGTTCTGCATTTAGAAAAATATTCATATTAATGGGGTTTCAACTATTTATAATTAGTTGTACAATACTCATTTTATCCTAATTATTTTTCTTTCACGAAAGTTAAAAAACTGAAGCTCACATGAAATAAAAAATAATACTTATAAATATATTTATTCTTTTTTCCAGACATATGGAGGAATCTTCAGTCAGATATTGTCTTCAAACCCAGCAGAGGTAGTGATTTCCGCCATCACGATATCTGTCATGGCGATCAACAGTGAGGTTCTCAAGGTAACTACTCACCAGGGTATCTTTATTGTTGTATTTAGATACTCAGATATCTTTATTAATGAGTGGAGATACCCAGCTATCTTTATTGATGTATGGAGATACCCATCTATTTTAATTAATGAATGGAGGTACCCATCTATCTTTATTGATGCATTCAGATGCCCAGGTATATTTATTGCTGAATGGAGATGCCAAGTATCTTTATTGATGAATGGAGATACCCACGTATCTTTATTGATGAATGGAGATACCCAGGTATCTTTATTGATGAATGGAGATACCCAGGTATCTTTATTGATGAATGGAGATACCCAGGTATCTTTATTGATGAATGGAGATACTCAGGTAGCTTTACTGATAAATGGAGATACCCAGGTATCTTTATGGATGAATGGAAATACCCAAGTCTTGCCAATTATCCTTCTAATTGTGGGTATGGTGTACCAATAAAGCTTGAACTGTAATGGGGTCACTTTCATCCAGCAACATCTAGGCCTATAACAGCTAGGCCTACAACAGATAGTCGTACAACAGCTAGGCCTACAACAACTAGGCCTGCAACAGCTAGGCCTACAACAGCTAGGCCTACAACAGCTAAGCCTCAACAGCTGGGCCTTCAACAGCTAGGCCTACAAAACCTAGGCCTACAACAACTAGGCCTACAACTACGCTACAATAACTAGGCCTACAACAGCTAGGCCTACAACAACTAGGCCTACAACAGCTAGGCTTACAACAACCAGACCTACAACAACTAGGCCTACATCAGCTAGGTCTAAAATAGCTAGGCCTACAACAGCTAGGCTTACAACAGCTAGCCCTACAACAACTAGGCCTACAACAACTAGGTCTACAACAACTAGACCTAGTTGTAGGCCTAGTTGATAAATGTTAATTTCATCCTTCTGTTTCTACAGCCTTGGTTCCGCAAGAAGACGAAGATACCCATCCCCATCGAGCTCATTGTTGTGTCCATAGGAACCACAGTGTCCTATCTGGCCAATCTTTATGACGCGTATCATATAAGAATTGTCGGGGAGATTCCAACTGGGTAAGTCAACTAGTTGGTAAGAATCCATAAACGTTCATACACACACACACACACGTTAAGAAATTAGAGAAAGTACAAAGGTTTGCAACAAGGCTAGTACTGGAGCTCAGGGATATGTCCTACGGAGAAAGGTTGAGGGAAATCGGACTGACGACGCTGGAGGACAGGAGGGTTAGGGGAGACATTATAACGACATACAAAATACTGCTATGAATTGATAAGGTGGACAGAGACAGAATGTTCCAGAGAAGGGACACAGAAGCAAGGGGTCACAACTGGAAGCTGAAGACTCAGACGAGTCAAAGGGATGTTAGGAAGTACTTCTTCAGTCATAGAGTTGTCAGGAAGTGGAATAGTCTAGCAAGTGTTGTAGTGGAGGCAGGAACCATACATAGGTTTAAGACGAGGTATGACAAAGCTCAGGGAGCAGAGAGAGGACCTAGCAGCGATCAGTGAAGAGGCTGGGCCAGGAGCTGAGTCTCAACCCCTGCAATCACAATTAGGTGAGTACGGTTAGGTGAGTACGGTTAGGTGAGTACACACACATACACGCACGCATAGTGCGTGCACATGTGCGAATCTCACAGCAAAATAGTGATGCCAAATTCCTACAGGGTCAACAGATGATAAACAGACGATAAAGACTCGGAATTAGCACAGATGAAAAATCTGGTTCACCTGGATACACAATTTTAAAGACTACATAATGAGCAGAGTCGTATTAGCAGTAACATAGAGGTGAACAATACGTAGATAAAGATAAGGAATCTCTTTATTGCTTTTATGGATTTAGATGAGGCATATGATGGGGTTGATAGTGGAGCAATGTGGCAGATGATGCAAGTGTATGAAAAAGGTGGTAGGTTACTGACATTTATTAAGTAGTAAAGAGTTATGAGGATAGTGAGCTTCACGGTAGGGTACGTAGAGGAGAGGCAGATTATTTCCCAGTAAAAGTAGGCTTAGACAGGGATGCTTGATGCCACCTTGGTTGTGTAACATATTTATGGATGGGGTTGTTAAAGAAGTGAATGTAGAAGTGTTAGGAAGAAGTGTGAGATTAAAAAATTAAACATAGAGATTGAGAGTTGTCACAGCTGTTTTTTGCCGATGACTCTGTGTTTTTGGGAGATTCTGAAGTGAAGCTGCAGAAGTTGGTGGAGAAATCTGGGAAGGTATGTAAAACAAAGAAATTAAAAGTGAACTTAGGAAAGATCAAGATGATAAGGATAACAAAAAAAAATTAGGCAGTGAGAAATTGGATATCAGATGGAAGGGAGGGAGTATGGAGGAAATGAACAAAAGGGGAATATACCAGAGTATAGTAGTACCAACACTGTTGTATGGGTGTGAAACATGGGCTCTGAATTGAAAGAGACTACACGAAGTGTTTGATAGACTCCAGTTATTGTGTCAAACAAGTAGTCACTGGAAATACAGAAAAAAAACTAAATTGTAGAGGGAAAAAGATCTCAGACGAAGTAGAGCTTTAGAGGTGAGAATCTATAAATACGCTACTTGGAGACAGTTCTTGAGGTGAACATCAGACCGAACACATTGCGACAGGTGCACATACAGTGCACGAGATCGGTAGCATAGACGAGGGTAGTTAATTCCAGAGGCTGCTATAAGGTTATTAATACAGTTCTTTAGTATTTTAAGGAAATTTAAAGAAAAATCTTAGTAATAAGGATGAACGAATTAAAATAATGGGGAAAAAAAAACAGCAGGAATCAAGTATGACCAAGATGAATTGGCCATAATTAAATTTCAATTAAATTTAAATATTTACAAAATGTTCAACATAAAAATTATTAATTATCAAAAGCTCGTAAAGAATAAGATGGTCGTTTATCACTTATCTACTAAACCAGGGTCATTAGTAGGGTTTATAACCCATCTACTAAACGAGAGTCATTAATGGGGATTTATAACCTATCTACTACAGGAGCGTGTTTCCTGTCAACCATCAGACAAGAATACTTTCATAAACTATATGATAAGGATTAAAAGTAAATTTTCAGTTCATATATACACAAAGAAACACACATGAGGGGCTACTGTCTCACAGGCATCGTTAAACAGACAATAGTTGCTGCTAGTTTGGGTTTAGTATTGCAATCCTTGCTGTGGACAATAACTGCAGAAATATTCAGGTTTGGCGTGTTGTGGGAGTGTGCGGACAGTAACATTTATGTAGGGATTCAGTGAAACCGGTTAGCTGGACTCGAGTACTGGAAGTGGGAAATACATTGCATGCACTCTGAAGGAGGGGTGTTGATATGATGCAGTTTTTTAACTGTAATGTAGGCACGCCTATGACAAGACAGTGATGGAGTGAATGATAATGAAAGTGTTTCTTCGTTTTCGGGTCACCCTGCCTTGGTGGGAAACGGCCGATGTGTTAATAGAAAAAATTCAGCTTTTCAGTTTGGTTTGAATAATTAAAATTTTATTACTTTTTCCACTTTAAATGCAGTTGGGAAAGTATCTTTTAATTATTTTAATTCATGTTTTTCTACGCCATTTTAAATTAATACTCTCAGCACTACACTGTATGTTACTTTATCTGGTATTTAAACTTATAATTACATTCAGTCAGGATATTGGTAATAAAATAATATTTGCTGTTTCTTTCAGGTTACCTGAACCTACGTTACCACCTTTCGAGCTGATGCCAACAGTGTTAGTGGACTCTATAGTGATCAGTGTGGTGGCTTATGTAGTCTCCTTCTCTATGGCCAGGATATTTGCCAAGAGACACAACTACAGTATTGATGCTAATCAAGAACTATATGCTCTGGTAGGGATTTAAACTGCATTTGTTTGTGTTGTATTTACTTGTAAAATGATTTTTTAACACCCCGGCCATCTTCCACCGAGGCAGGGTGACCCAAAAGAAAAAAATGCAAGTTTTCTTTCCTTTTATATTAATAATTTATACAGGAGAAAGGGTTACTAGCACCTTGCTCCCGGCATTTTAGTCGCCTCTTACAACACGCATGACTTACGCAGGAAAAATTTGTTCTCCATTTCCCCATGGGGTCGTAAAATTATATATGAACTATATTTGTTAGAAATGTATTGACAATGGATACATAGCCTTACAGGCTAACTCTTACTTACTAAAGATACACAGAACTCTATGTAAAGAAAAGAACTGGTCTGTAAGTGAGGTAAAGACGAGTGAACAAGGCTGTTGTAGTCTCGTAGTTATAAAACAACAACTACATCTAGTTTTAATAAGAAACTATTTGGTTCGTGAAACAGGATTCACCAGCTTCAAAATCTTGCATTGATGCCTTCCACTTGGACCCTGAACTGATATCCTGCATTAAGACATTACAGTTAGGCTCTGCCGTCCTGAAGTCCTTCGTCGAGGAACTGTAATAAGTCATTGCAAGTGGGAGTAATGCACTGGTGCACTTTACTTGGGCAAGATCCGCTTACGTGTCAGAATAACCGAGTGAAGATAGACTTGTTCTGCGCTTTAAGTTCTGAGTTTTAAGAAATGGGTACATTGGGAACAGTGGCAAAAGTAGGCAAGGATATATACACTGAGAAGCATATCTCTATGTATATATGATAAGAGTATGCTTTAATCTCTATTTGTAAGGAAAGTTTTCTTGCAACTAATTATGAAGGATATTTATTGAACTCAAACAGGCTTTCAAGGAAACCCAGGAATATGCAGAACCCAGTTTAAAATCCAAAGTCAAAGTACACGATAGCTGGTATATCCTTCTAATTTCAGGAGTGTTGATCCTTAAACCCCTGTGTGTCCTGCTACAAACAAAAAGCAAGACTTTGGTACTTTCCAGTCAGTAAAGTAATGAATAGGTTTTATGCTCAATAAAACTTAAATTTAAAATAATCTCATTCTTACTGTATTTCTTCCAGGGCGCCAGTAACGTGTTTGGATCGTTCTTCGGTTGTGCTCCCATCGCTGTGTCACTGGCTCGCTCTCTCATACAGGAAGCTGCCGGTGGTGTTACACAGATAACTTCCTTCGTCTGTTGCTTCCTACTGCTGTTTGTCTTACTGTTTATTGGGCCCGTCTTTGAAACTCTCCCAAACGTGAGTATTATGTTTATCTGTTGTTGTCATCCTCTAGCCTACCTAACTGGTTATTTGGGCCCTGTCTGAGTCACCTGCAAACTTGCAAACCAAGAACTACCAATATTCAAGTATCATTGTTGCAAATCACGACACTGGGACTGGTGTGTGTGTGTGTGTGTGTGTGTACTCACCTAATTGTGATTGCAGAGGTCGGGTCATAGCTTCTGGCTCCGTCTCTTAACTGGTCGCTATTAGGTCACTATCTCCTTGCTCCACGAGCTCCATGTGTAATTACCTATTTACAATTATCTGCATTTACCAGTAATTACTCTATTCATCATATATTTATTTTAAATTTTATTGGCTATAACACTTATTAATTCCTCATTTAATGCATTCCACTGGTCAACCACTCGATTCGAGAAGGAAAATTTAATATTATCCTTTCCACTATATTTTTTCTCACTTTTTAACTGTTGCCTCATGTTGTCCCATGTTGTCCTGTCAAGGCTTTATGTGGTCATCATATTTCCTATCAATCAACATGGGCATCTATAATGTTTTTCAACGTTACATCACAACACATACTGATTAATTAGACATATGCAATATCTGGGTATCTTTATTTCGTAGACTTTTCACTATCCTATGGCTTTATCAATACAACATATGGACATAATGTGAAGACTGTAGAAATATATACAGAATACAGTGGAAGATGAGGTAATCAGTCCCTCATCCTAGGAGCGAGTGATGAGCACCGTAGTCTTAAGAATCTGAAACACAAGAAGGAAGATTGGTACTTATATACTGGAGTCAGATGAGATGCAGTAGATGAAAGAATTATCCAGACTCCAGAATATTATATATAATATATATATATATATATATATATATATTATATATATATTATATATATATATATAATATATATATATTTTATATATATATATATATATATATATGCAAGTGCGAAATGAAAATCCAATACAAGAAACTCTGGCTAAATGAGCTTTTTGAAAATACCTTGGACGCTTAAGCTGTATTTTTCCAAATGCTCTGGATCAAAAGTAATGCTTCACACAAGATTGTCAGGGTAGATTGTAAAGCCACTCTACCATGTCCAAGTTTTTTCGAACTCCTACAGAGATCAGTTATATATATATAATTATATATATATATATATATATATATATAATATACGTGCGAAAGTAAAATGTCAATTAGCACGTTATTTAGAATAATCCTTTCTGAAATTTCTTTATACGTTTAAAGATATATTTTTCATTATGTTCATTAAAATTAATTTGCAAATAGAATCTTATAAACCACCAACCTTTTTAACACCAATTCTTATCCTAACACTATGTATATATTCTAAATACGTTTGAATAATTAAACAACAAATGTGAAATTTATCGAGTTTAATTTCAATTGCGAAATTATTGCAAACTTTTAACTTCAGATAGAGAGCGTTGCTTTTCATCTTCTATCCAATTCTGCCTATTTTGCACGACATGTATTCTAATACCAGGATGGAATAATCACTACAAAATGCCATATCGAGTAAAATGAAGAGGGAGAAAGGCGGTGAGCGTCTCATCAAGATTGGCTAGTGCTTTTTCATTTCCTTTACGGTTTTCATTTTCAGGGATCTGGCTTCTTTCGTTGGTCACTGATGGGAGTTATGCTAGTTAAGCTGAAAGGTGGGGTTGTCTCGTCCCACGCAATGATTGCTGGCTTCCTTCCTCGGTGTTGTAATTATAGACATAGACTATGGCTTGTTGTTGGGTATCGTCACATCACTGGTGGTTCTGCTCTATCGTTCACAAGAACCCAAAACTGCTCGTCTCGGACGTGTTCCAAACACCGATGTTTACCTAAACGTCAACAAATATTCCATGGTAAGTTTTCCATCTCTTGTTTTTTTATCACCGTAACTTTTTTATTGTTTATTATGAGCATCGCTTGTGAAATTTGAAGCTCATAGACTACTCGAAGGTAATTAAGGATGAATGTCGCCTGTTCACTACCAGTCAACACTTTAGTCTCTTCAACCAGGGATTACAATAACCTCTCAGTGTGTATATATATTCACTGAAAAGTACGCACTCTTTCTGTGTATATACACTGAAATGTACAGGCTTCCCGTCCTCTTACTAACAGACAAATTTGACTGTTGTAAAGACAGTTAAACAGGGGACTGACAAAGCCCCTTAAACAGTCTGAATCTCAGTTTTCTCTACAGCGCTCAGTGGCTCACACTTATCTATTACGCTCAGTGGCTAACACTTCTCTACGGCGCTCAGTGGCTAACACTTCTCTACGGCGCTCAGTGGCTCACATTTCTCTGCAGCGCTCAGTGGCTAACACTTCTCTACGGCGCTCAGTGGCTAACACTTCTCTACGGCGCTCAGTGGCTTACACTTCTCTACGGCGCTCAGTGGCTAACACTTCTCTACGGCGCTCAGTGGCTAACACTTCTCTACGGCGCTCAGTGGCTAACACTTCTCTACGGCGCTCAGTGGCTAACACTTCTCTACGGCGCTCAGTGGCTTACACTTCTCTACGGCGCTCAGTGGCTAACACTTCTCTACGGCGCTCAGTGGCTAACACTTCTCTACGGCGCTCAGTGGTTCACACTTTTGTGTTCGTGAGGAAGAACTTTTATCTCCTTTATCTTATAGTCTTATTTTTTTACGTTGTGAGATATAATTGGTTATTTTTTTATGGACAGAGGATAACCCAAACTAACCTCACCTAAAATGTCCTAAGTTAACCTAACCTAATCTAACATAACCTAATCTAAACTAATCTAACCTAACCTAATCTAACCTAACCGAGAAATTTGCTGAAAACGTTCGTGAGAAAAGCCACTTAGATTTTGTATGGGAGTTAGATTTTGTATGGGAGGACAGGTTGGGAATATATACCAGATCATACATACTTCACGATGTATATATACACTGAAAGATACGAACTTCTTGGTCCTTGTTTTATTTCAAAAGTTCTAATTTTTATATCAGCAGAATATATTTTAAATAAAAATTATTACAAATATTGTGAATAAGAAAAGAAAAATTATTTCTGTAAATATCTTTAATACAAAGAACATGTAAACTGAGATGAATATATATCTCAATGTATTTACACTGAAAGATTACTTTAATCCCTATTTCTTGATGTTAAAAGTAATCTTGGCTGGTGGTGAACAGATTACATGCAACTTTAATTGATGACCCTTTACTTTAAACTCAATTAGCCAAACACCCATGCACTTTATTATATCAGTGACTCTTAAGTACATCCTGTATGTACAATGAATTTATGGATTCTTTCTTTTTATATATAGACAGTAGAAGTGCCGACAGTGAGTATCTTCCAGTTTATCGGTCCGCTGCACTTTGCTAACAGTGAATATTTCCGTCGGGAGCTGATGTCTGTCACTGGTCTCAACCCAATCACTATTGCTGCAAGCAAGTCACTAGTTGAGAAACAGCTGCAGCTGGAGGCTGACCTCACCACCCAGCTGACCAAGGTAGTATTCACCTAAAATCATTGCCTAGCTAAACGTGAATGGGATATGAATGGCGTGTACAGGAAAACTCAAACTTGGTGACTTCCTCGAGAGAGGGAATAACGTAACATTCTTAAAATAATAATAATCCTCCCAAATTAGCATTGAATTCAGCTAATATTAAGAATTTGAACATGGCGAGAGGATTGATTTCGATTGTCTCCGCCATACATCAAGTGCTCTTAGTAGGAAGAATTTGCACTTACACCTTATATTAATGCTTGATGACCTTCGTGAAGTGTGTCGAAAATGGTTTTGATAAACCACAAGTTGAAGAACGAGACACTTGTGCGACATTGGGAATCTTTACTGATGTTTCTTTATGATGTTACCTTGTGTATATATCACATCACTCACTGTAGGACTGGTGATGTTATTTCTGTGATGTGTCACGTAGGAGTGAGATTACTAGGTACTTCCCTTACGGAATGTTTCACATCGGATGTGGTAATCTCTTTTCACATCAGACGCAGTGATGTTGAGGACTTCACCTCTCGTTTCACATCAGACGTTTCACATCACGTCCTCATCAGTACACACAAGAGAGAGAGAGAGAGAGAGAGAGAGAGAGAGAGAGAGAGGAGAGAGAGAGAGAGAGAGAGAGAGAGAGAGAGAGAGAGGGAGGTACATCAGAAGAGAGAGAGGTGTCATGTTACCTGGTAAGGTGTTATCACTGGAGAATCAGATTATCTGCACTTAAGTTATCTCTTGTCTCACCTGGTCTCACCTGGTCTCACCTGGTCTCACCTGGTCTCACCTGGTCTCACCTGGTCTCACCTGTCCCTCACTCTCCTTGAAAGGTTTACTACAAAGATAAAAAAAATTAGATGGTATAAACCTTAGCAATAGATACCGACAAATTGGTTTACAAAAACACGTGAACAAACACTATGACGTATTTATTAGAAGACGTTTCGGTCCTGGAACCTTGATCACTTCTGAAGGAAGGAAGTGATTACTTCTGAAGTGATCAAGGTCCAGGATCCGAAACTTTTTTCTAATATGTCCAAGTGTTTGCTTACGTGTCTTTTTAAACCAAAACTAGACGTAGAAGGGTAAATTCGCCGAAGAATTAAGATGTAAAATTAACATCTGGAGAAGGAGAGTTCCTGGACGTCTTCTTCGCATCCTGGTTGTCGGTAACAAGACAAAGCTGTACTAACGTTGTAACTCAAGAAATCGTAATAATACAATTGCAAACAAATCAGAGAATGGGTGGGACTCGAACCCATGGTAGACCTGCCAGTTTTAGGAGACACATTTCCATGGTTTCAAGCCCCACATGTTTTGTGGCTTGTATAAACGTTGTTTTAGGTACTTACGGTCAATACTGACCGTGAACAGTTGTCTGACAGCGTTCAATTACCTTAATAAAACGAAAAAAATGTTTCAGTACTATTACAGTGGAAACATTAAACTAAACATCTAAATATTACATTGGCAATTATAATGTTTATATTTCAAAATATAATAATGGTTACCGTACATATTCTTTTTGTAGCAGGTACAGTACCTGGTGGTAGAGATGAGTGCTGTGAGTTACACAGACTCCAGTGGTGGTTACCTACTGTCTCAGCTGTGTAAAGAATACCAGGAGGCTGGTATTACTGTGTGTCTGGCTTCTCTCTCAGGTATGTTGTCTATGTTGTTTGCCAATCCGTATATATATATATATATATGTATATATATATATATATATATATATATTATATATATATATATATAATATATATATATATATATATATATATATATAATATATATATATATTATATATATATATATATATATATATCGTGCCGAATAGGCAGAACTTGCGATCTTGGCTTAAATAGCAACGCTCATCTTGCCATATAGGACAAGTGAAAATTTGTGTATGCAATAATTTCGCCAAAATCATTCTGAACGTAACGAAAAAAATATATTTCACTGTGTTTGTTTAGTATTAAATTATTGTAAACAAATTTAAAATATATTTAGTTGGGTTAGGCTAAAATAAATTTTTCTTGTTATAATAAGGTTAGGTAAGTTTTCTAATTTTCTTCTGGAGCAAAATTAAAAATTTTTACATTAAAATTAAAGAAAAAATATATCTTTAAACGTATAAGAGAAAATTTTAGAAAGGACTTACTTTTGAATGAGTTCTTGCTAATTGGCCAGTTTTACATATTCGGCACGACATATATATACTCGTCGATAATTGAATAAGTAAACACCGCATTTTAGTTTAAAATTGTTACCATGAAACATCTTCGTCTGGTTTTCAGAAAATGTACTGGAAACCCTGGAAGTGTGTGGAACACTCAAAGTTATTCCTCCAGAGAACATTTTCCACTCAACGCATGATGCTGTTATGGCCCTCACTCACCCGGACTCTCCTCTCCCTGTACATGATACGTGCACTAAATTATAGGACCTACCTCGTAGTACCAGGAGTAACAGTCACACAATGGTTATAAAATTATAAGACTAACCTTGTAGTAAAAGGAGTAAGTCGCACGTTGGTGATGAAATTATAGGACCTATAAAAGTCACACTGGAGATGAAATTACTGACTGGTTGATCAGATCCTGATCCATCATGAGGCCTGGTCTCAGACCGAGCTGCGGGGGAGTTGATCTCCGAAACCCTCTCCAGGTAAACTCCAGGTAAACTTGTTGTATCAGGGGTAAGAGTGCCACTCTGAAGACTATTATCATATATCTCACATTGCTTACGTTTTTAATATTTTTGTGTTGTAACAGAGATCTTCACTGAAGAAATCAAAGCATCATCAAGTTAAGCCTTCAGAACAACCACTATTTCTGACAAATGTCCTTGAATACTGTCATTGCTATTAACAAATACAGTGGACCCCCGGTAAACGATATTTTTTCTCTCCAGAAGTATGTTTAGGTGCCAGTACTGACCGAATTTGACCCCCAAACATACACGTACAAACGCACTTACATAAATACACTTACATAATTGGTCGCATTCGGAGGTGATCGTTATGCGGGGGTCCACTGTATAACGTTTCCTAAACTGCCGCCTTACATTTACGCATTCACTGCTTCGTTGCCTGCTTCTTAAATTTATATATTAAATATTTATATTATTTATATATATTTGTGAATTTATATATTGGTGAAATAAAAAGATGGGATGGTAGAGGAAGTGGAATATTTAAATGGCTAAATGAAGTCGCAATTTTTCCTTGAGGCCTTTTTGTGTGTATCTCCAATGTTGTGGGTCCTCACAGAGTGAACTACAGGAGGCCCTCATTCCTTTTATTCAAGTAAAGTACTTTATTACGTAACTTGTTTCTTCAGATAATTTATACGAAACATTAGCACGTTACTCTTTCTCTATAATAACTTAAAACGTTGATATTTCTTATCTTTTTTATGGATTTTTTTTTAGATTTTATTTTTGGAAATCACAATAAACCTGTCTGTATTTCTCCAGTTTATCAGTGAACAAACACAACGTTTTATTATAGGAAAAACAAGCCTTAGAGATCACAAATTACTTATACAGTGGAGAAGTTTGTAGCTTGACAGTGGTCGGTCTGGAACCATTAACAAAACACAACTGAGCCAGGAAGAAAAAATTATTGAATGGTAACGCCTCTGCCCCTAACTAGGCAGCCAAATGTTCCAGCTTCCGTCACTCCTAAGTTTATTATTCAGGTGGATTAAAAGCATCCATTTTCGGTCCACGATAGATCGAAAGTGGTCCGAATTTTTATCTGTAAATTCTGGGTAATTTGTGAATTATTCAAGCGGTGTTTCCAGTTGGACTGAATTGTTCTGTCGAAGGTACTGTATGTTACTTGTGAATTGTTCCAGCCACTGTAGTAAGTGCTATATAGCCAGTGTTGTGAGCTATGCAGTCAGTGTTGTGAGCTATGCAGTCAGTGTTGTAAGCTATGCAGCCAGTGTTGCAAGCTGTGCAGTCAGTCACTATTTATGAATAGATGTATGAGTCAAGTTTTCAGTTATCTGTATTCATATAGTTAAGAAAAAGAGATACAATATGTATCACTGTATCACAGTTGATGCAGTACGTATCACTGTATCACAGGTGATATAGTATGTATCACTGTATCACAGGTGATACAGTATGTATCACTGTATCACAGGTGATACAGTACGTACATTGTGTATCATAGGTGATACAGTATTATCACAGGTGATGCAGTATGTATCACAGGTGATACAGTATGTATCACATTTGATACAGTATCACTGTATCACAGGTGATACAGTATGTATCACTGTATCACAGGTGATACAGTATGTATCACTGTATCACAGGTGATACAGTATGTATCACTGTATCACAGGTGATACAGTACGTATCACTGTATCACAGGTGATACAGTGTGTATCATAGGTGATACAGTATTATCACAGGTGATACAGTATGTATCACAGGTGATACAGTATCACTGTATCACAGGTGATACAGTATGTATCACTGTATCACAGGTGATACAGTATGTATCACTGTATCACAGGTGATACAGTACGTATCACTGTATCACAGGTGATACAGTGTGTATCATAGGTGATACAGTATTATCACAGGTGATACAGTATATATCACAGGTGATACAGTATGTATCACAGGTGATACAGTATCACTGTATCACAGGTGATACAGTATGTATCACTGTATCACAGGTAATAGAGTAATAGCCAGCCATATCACTATCACCTGTCAGTTACTGTATCATGATTACAGTGACAGACAGTCCTGTCACTGTATTACCTGTCAGTTATAGTGATACAGTGACATTTACTCTACCATAAGTAATACAGTGATTCCTGTCACTGTATTACAGGTAAGAAATATGTAGCATCATGACATTTCATTATATTGTTATATTGTTTATTGTACCGCATTTGTTATACATAAAAAATTGTTATTCAAGAATTTATTTTTGGCATAAAAAAATATTAATATTTTTCTAAATGCTTGAAGGATTTAGGTATTCATCAAATTAAAACTTGCTGTTATGTACCAGTTTTTTAGCAATATTTTGTTTTCAGTTTCCAAAGCAACTTTGAAAATGTTTGTAACTTGGTGAGAGATGTTTTTATTATATTGATTGTGCTAGTGATTACAGGATCAGATTTATGCTGGTAGTGCCCCGTCCTCAACACTTAGTTTGTCTGAGAAATGTTCGTAGTTTGCATTGTTTGTTACACATACATCCGTCTTAGCATAAACCAGAAAGTCTTCCATTCTTATGTTAGTTCTAGACGAAAACAGAGACGTGTTCTTGATGTCATTATAAAAATATTATATGACATATTACTGAGCTTGTTTTATTAGTGACTTAAGTTAGAGAGGCGCATCTATGGGGCACAAAAAATGCACTAAGTTTACAGTATGAGTTATGGACGTGTGCTATGTGTACTCGTTGTTGATATACAGAATCAGATAAAGTAATCTATTTCAAACAAAAATAATCAATGCATTATCAAAGGATCTGCTCTCACCATTCCCCACCCCATAAAATAAAAAGTCAGTGAAAATGCCTCAGCTTTTGTCCTGATAATGTTAGTCCATACCTCAGGGTTATGGATATATGGTCCCTCTCTCGGGACCCGTGGAGAGATGTTATCCGGCCCCATCGCCTTTGAGATATCTAGCTCGTTTAGCAGCCTCTTCACCACCACCTCGGTTGTATGTATTGTGTCCAGCACTTGATGGTGTAATCTACCTCTCCGTCTTTCTGGATTCCCTACTGTCTCACTTCTCGGTCGTTTTTTGTAAACTCCCCTCCTTCCTTCCTGAGCCTGTTTACCTGATCTTTGACCATTGTTTTATTCCTGATGTGACTATACAACAGATTCAGGTCAGACTTCACTTTCGCTACTTTGTCATTTTCGTATTGTCGTTGGGCCTGCCTTCTTATCTGCCTTCTTACCATTCATTTCTAACTTTTCTACTGCTCTCATTATTCTCCTGGCCCTTTGCCTTCTACACTTCTTCCAGTCTCTTACACACTGTTCTGGCCTTTCTACACCTTTGGGTGAACCAAGAACTCGCCCTGGACTTCTCATTATGTCTGTTGCCCTTGGGTACAAACCTCTCCTTTGCATCCTTGCATATTGTTGTCACATATTCCATCATCTCATTTGCTGATCTCCCTGCCCATTTTCTGTTTCACTGAACCTCGTGTAGGAAATTCTTCATGCCTGTGTAGTCGCCTCTCTTGTAGTTTGAATACATTCGTCCTGCCCTTCCTGCTTTCCTTTCCACTTGAAACTCTACTATGTATTCGAAGCTCAGAACCACGTGATCGCTAGCCCCTAGAGGTCTTTCATATGTTATGTCCTCAATATCCGCACTACTGAAAGTGAATACAAGGTCCAGTCTTGCTGGTTCATCCTCTCCTCCCTTACGTGTTGGTACATAAGGTTTTCCATTACCACCTCCATCATCTTAGCCTTACACATTTCTGGGCCCACATGTGGCTCCAGGTTTTCCCAGTCAGTTTCTTTGTGTGTATGTGTTTGTGTGTGTGTGTGTGTGTATGTGTCTGTGTACCGTATAAGGAGCTACCACAAATGGTATTAACTAGGGACCCACAGCCTCTGATAAGAGAATAAACGTTCTATATATTAAACTACGAGTCTAATAAATACTTTATAAGCTGGCATATACCCGGAAGGACTTCTGGGTATTTCCTATTTAAGTAACATTAAAGTATATATTATTTTTGCTTTATTTATTTATCCTAAAGGATTTTTTTTAATACGAATTCTATACTGATTTCGTTGCACACACACACACAACACACACACACACACACACCACACACACACACACACACACACACATACATACATACATACATACATACATACATACATACATACAAACATACATACATACACAGTGGAGACAGGAAGGCCTCTGGGGGGACAGAACAGAAGGGGACACCAGCAAGGAATATACCAACAAGTGTTGTGGATGACATACATACAAATGAGGAGGAGGTGAAGAAGCTGCTAAGGGACATCGATACCTCAAAGGCAATGGGACCAGACAACATCTCCCCGTGGGTCCTTGAGAGGGAGCGGATATGATGTGTGTGCCACTTACCACAATCTTCAACACATCCCTGGAAACTGGGCAACTACCTGAGGTATGGAAGACGGCAAATGTAGTTCCTATTTTTAAAAAACGAGACAGAAAAGAGACACTAAACTATAGACCTGTGTCACTGACGTGTATAGTATGCAAAGTTATGGAGAAGATTATCAGGAGGAGAGTGGTGGAGCACCTGGAACAGAACAAGAGTATAAACGTCAACCAGCACGGATTCATGCAAGGCAAATCCTGTGTCACAAACCTTCTGGAGTTTTATGATAAAGTAACAGAAGTAAGACACGAGAGAGAAGGGTGGGTTGATTGCTTCTTCTTGGACTGCAAGAAGGCCTTTGACACAGTTCCTCAAAATAGATTAGTGCAGAAGCTAGAGGATCAGGTGCATATAACAGGAAGGGCACTGCAATGGATCAGAGAATACCTGACAGGGAGGCAACAACGAGTCATGGCACGTGATGAGGTATCACAGTGGGCACCTGTGACGAGTGGGGTCCCAAAGGGGTCGGTCCTAGGACCAGTGCTATTTTTGGTATATGTGAACGACATGATGGAAGGGTTAGACTCAGAAGTGTCCCTGTTCGCAGATGATGTGAAGTTAGTGAGGAGAATTAAATCAGATGAGGATCAGGCAGGACTTCAAAGATACCTGGACAGACAGGACACCTGGTCCAGCAACTGGCTTCTTGAATTTAACCCCGCCAAATGCAAAGTCATGAAGATCTGGGAAGGGCACAGAAGACTGCAGACGGAGTATAGGCTAGGTGGCCAAAGACTGCAAAGCTCGCTCAGGGAGAAAGATCTTGGGGTGAGTATAACACCGAGTATGTCTCCAGAAGCACACATCAACCAGATAACTGCTGCAGCATATGGGCGCCTGGCAAACCTGAGAACAGCATTCCGATACCTTAGTAAGGAATCGTTCAAGACACTGTACACCGTATGCAGCACCTGTTTGGAACCCGCACTAGATCAAGCACGTCAAGAAATTAGAGAAAGTGCAAAGGTTTGCGACAAGGTTAGTTCCAGAGCAAAGGGGAATGTCCTATGAAGAAAGGTTAAGGGAAATCGGCCTGACGACACTTGAGGACGGGAGGGTCAGGGGAGACATGATAACGACATTAAATACTGCGCAGAATAGACAAGGTGGACAAAGACAGGATGTTCTATGGAGGGGACACAGAAACAAGAGGTCACAATTGGAAATTGAACACTCAGATGAGTCAAAGGGATGTCAGGAAATATTTCTTCAGTCATACAGTTGTCAGGCAGTGGAATAGCCTAGAAAGTGACGTAGTGGAGGCAGGAACCATACAGTTTTAAGACGAGGTTTTGATAAAGCTCATGGAGCAGGGACAGAGGGCCCAGTAGCAACCACTGAAGAGACGGGGCAAGGAGCTAAGACTCAACCCCTGCAACCACAAATAGGTGAGTACATATATATATATATATATATATATATATATATATATATATATATATATATATATATATATATATATATATATATATACATACATACATACATACATATATATATATATATATATATATATATATATATATATATATATATATATATATATATATATATATATATTTATTATTTTTTTATTATCACACTGGCCGATTCCCACCAAGGCAGGGTGGCCCGAAAAAGAAAAACTTTCACCATCATTCACTCCATCACTGTCTTGCCAGAAGGGTGCTTTACACTACAGTTTTTAAACTGCAACATTAACACCCCTCCTTCAGAGTGCAGGCACTGTACTTCCCATCTCCAGGACTCAAGTCCGGCCTGCCGGTTTCCCTGAATCCCTTCATAAATGTTACTTTGCTCACACTCCAACAGCACGTCAAGTATTAAAAACCATTTGTCTCCATTCACTCCTATCAAACACGCTCATGCATGCCGGCTGGAAGTCCAAGCCCCTCGCACACAAAACCTCCTTTACCCCCTCCCTCCAACCTTTCCTAGGCCGACCCCTACCCCGCCTTCCTTCCACTACAGACTGATACACTCTTGAAGTCATTCTGTTTCGCTCCATTCTCTCTACATGTCCGAACCACCTCAACAACCCTTCCTCAGCCCTCTGGACAACAGTTTTGGTAATCCTGCACCTCCTCCTAACTTCCAAACTACGAATTCTCTGCATTATATTCACACCACACATTGCCCTCAGACATGACATCTCCACTGCCTCCAGCCTTCTCCTCGCTGCAACATTCATCACCCACGTTTCACACCCATATAAGAGCGTTGGTACAACTATACTCTCATACATTCCCCTCTTTGCCTCCAAGGACAAAGTTCTTTGTCTCCACAGACTCCTAAGTGCACCACTCACTCTTTTTCCCTCATCAATTCTATGATTCACCTCATCTTTCATAGACCCATCCGCTGACACGTCCACTCCCAAATATCTGAATACGTTCACCTCCTCCATACTCTCTCCCTCCAATCTGATATTCAATCTTTCATCACCTAATCTTTTGTTATCCTCATAACCTTACTCTTTCCTGTATTCACCTTTAATTTTCTTCTTTTGCACACCCTACCAAATTCATCCACCAATCTCTGCAACTTCTCTTCAGAATCTCCCAAGAGCACAGTGTCATCAGCAAAGAGCAGCTGTGACAACTCCCACTTTGTGTGTGATTCTTTATCTTTTAACTCCACGCCTCTTGCCAAGACCCTCGCATTTACTTCTCTTACAACCCCATCTATAAATATATTAAACAACCACGGTGACATCACACATCCTTGTCTAAGGCCTACTTTTACTGGGAAAAAATTTCCCTCTTTCCTACATACTCTAACTTGAGCCTCACTATCCTCGTAAAAACTCTTCACTGCTTTCAGTAACCTACCTCCTACGCCATACACTTGCAACATCTGCCACATTGCCCCACTATCCACCCTGTCATACGCCTTTTCCAAATCCATAAATGCCACAAAGACCTCTTTAGCCTTATCTAAATACTGTTCACTTATATGTTTCACTGTAAACACCTGGTCCACACACCCCCTTCCTTTCCTAAAGCCTCCTTGTTCATCTGCTATCCTATTCTCCGTCTTACTCTTAATTCTTTCAATTATAACTCTACCATACACTTTACCAGGTACACTCAACAGACTTATCCCCCTATAATTTTTGCACTCTCTTTTATCCCCTTTCCCTTTATACAAAGGAACTATGCATGCTCTCTGCCAATCCCTAGGTACCTTACCCTCTTCCATACATTTATTAAATAATTGCACCAACCACTCCAAAACTATATCCCCACCTGCTTTTAACATTTCTATCTTTATCCCATCAATCCCGGCTGCCTTACCCCCTTTCATTTTACCTACTGCCTCACGAACTTCCCCCACACTCACAACTGGCTCTTTCTCACTCCTATAAGATGTTATTCCTCCTTGCCCTATACACGAAATCACAGCTTCCCTATCTTCATCAACATTTAACAATTCCTCAAAATATTCCCTCCGTCTTCCCAATACCTCTAACTCTCCATTTAATAACTCTCCTCTCCTATTTTTAACTGACAAATCCTTTTGTTCTCTAGGCTTTCTTAACTTGTTAATCTCACTCCAAAACTTTTTCTTATTTTCAACAAAATTTGTTGATAACATCTCACCCACTCTCTCATTTGCTCTCTTTTTACATTGCTTCACCACTCTCTTAACCTCTCTCTTTTTCTCCATATACTCTTCCCTCCTTGCATCACTTCTACTTTGTAAAAACTTCTCATATGCTAACTTTTTCTCCCTTACTACTCTCTTTACATCATCATTCCACCAATCGCTCCTCTTCCCTCCTGCACCCACTTTCCTGTAACCACAAACTTCTGCTGAACACTCTAACACTACATTTTTAAACCTACCCCATACCTCTTCGACCCCATTGCCTATGCTCTCATTAGCCCATCTATCCTCCAATAGCTGTTTATATCTTACCCTAACTGCCTCCTCTTTTAGTTTATAAACCTTCACCTCTCTCTTCCCTGATGCTTCTATTCTCCTTGTATCCCATCTACCTTTACTCTCAGTGTAGCTACAACAAGAAAGTGATCTGATATATCTGTGGCCCCTCTATAAACATGTACATCCTGAAGTCTACTCAACAGTCTTTTATCTACCAATACATAATCCAACAAACTACTGTCATTTCGCCCTACATCATATCTTGTATACTTATTTATCCTCTTTTTCTTAAAATATGTATTACCTATAACTAAACCCCTTTCTATACAAAGTTCAATCAAAGGGCTCCCATTATCATTTACACCTGGCACCCCAAACTTACCTACCACACCCCTCGAAAAGTTTCTCCTACTTTAGCATTCAGGTCCCCTACCACAATTACTCTCTCACTTGGTTCAAAGGCTCCTATACATTCACTTAACATCTCCCAAAATCTCTCTCTCTCCTCTGCATTCCTCTCTTCTCCAGGTGCATACACGCTTATTATGACCCACTTCTCGCATCCAACCTTTACTTTAATCCACATAATTCTTGAATTTACACATTCATATTCTCTTTTCTCCTTCCATAACTGATCATTTAACATTACTGCTACCCTTCCTTTGCTCTAACTCTCTCAGAT